ACAGGTAATGAGTTCAGGGGAAACAGAAGAAGGTACCACCCCTGAACCTGAGGTAAGTAATGATAGAGGAAACAGCATGAATGTGAATCCTCCTGGCTCCTCAGAAGAAGGAGAGATCCATGAACATGCTGGTTCCCAACTTAATGAGAAAGCACAAAACAGTCTTAATTTTAAAAGTTATAGATATCAATCTTCTCATCCCACTGATCAAATAATTAGTGATATAAATAAGGGGATTCAAACGAGAACAAATGTTTTTCAAAACTTTTGTGCTTTCTATTCTTTCCTGTCTAATGTAGAGCCTACTGACTATAAAATGGCATTGACTGATCCTGATTGGGTACTAGCTATGCAAGATGAGTTAAATCAGTTTCAGAGGAACCAGGTTTGGCACCTGGTTCCCCGTCCCAAGGAAAGATCAGTCATTGGCACTAGATGGGTCTTTAGAAACAAGTTAGATGACCTTGGTACTATAGTCAGAAACAAAGCAAGGCTAGTGGTGCAAGGGTACAATCAACAAGAAGGAATTGACTATGATGAGACGTTTGCACCAGTAGCTAGGCTAGAGGCTATTAGGATTTTAATTGCTTATGCTGCTCACATGAATTTTAAGCTGTTTCAGATGGATGTAAAGACTGCCTTCCTCAATGGATATTTAAAGGAAGAAGTATATGTGGAGCAGCCACCTGGTTTTGAAGATGCACTGTTCCCCCAACATGTGTACAAGTTGGACAAAGCATTATATGGGTTGAAACAAGCTCCGAGGGCTTGGTATGAAAGATTGTCCAATTTCTTGATGGCAAATGATTACAAGAGGGGAACAATAGACAAGACCTTGTTCATAAGAACCAGGGGGAAACACTTGATTGTAGTACAAATTTATGTTGATGATATTTTATTTGGTGCTACTAATCAGGTTTTATGTGATGAATTTGCTAATCTTATGCAGAGTGAATTTGAAATGAGCATGATGGGAGAACTAGGATTCTTCCTAGGGCTGCAGATTAAGCAAATGGATGATGGAATAATGATCCATCAACAAAAGTACTTAAAAGAGTTGCTGAAAAAATTCGGCATGGAGAACAGCAAAGCTTATGATACACCTGTTCCCCCATCTACAAAATTAGATGCTGATCTTAAGGGAAAAGATGTTGAAGCTTCTCTTTATAGAGGAATGATAGGTTCTCTACTTTACCTAACAGCTAGTAGACCTGACATTGTGTTTTCTGTTGGTTTGTGTGCTAGGTTTCAAAGCAATCCAAAGGAATCTCACTTGAAGGCTGTTAGAAGGATACTTAGGTATCTTGTAGGAACAGCAAATCTGGGATTGTGGTACCCCAAAGGCAGTACCATTGATCTTATTGGATACACAGATGCAGATTATGCTGGTTTCTTAGTTGATAGAAAGAGCACATCAGGTATGGCACACTTTCTTGGCTCTTGTCTAATTTCATGGGGTTCTAAAAAGCAAAATTCAGTGGCCCTATCCACAGCAGAGTCTGAATATATAGCTGCAGCTTCATGCTGTTCCCAGCTACTGTGGATAAGGAACCAGCTGAAAGATTTTGGTGTTATTTATAAAAGTGTTCCTATTTTCTGTGATAACACTAGTGCAATCAATATTTCAAAGAATCCTGTGCAACACTCCAAGACAAAACACATTGAAATAAGACACCATTTTTTAAGAGACAATGTGGAAAAAGGATTGGTGGAGATGTTGTTTTGTAAAAGTGAAGATCAAATTGCTGATATCTTCACAAAGCCTTTGTGTAGAGAGTCTTTTTGTAGGTTAAGAGTCCTTTTAGGTCTAGTTAGACTTTAGGTATTGGCTTCAATTACTTCCTTCAATGATTGGTTAGAATGGTATTCTCTTGTATAGTGTGTGTACATACTTATGTTGATATCTTTCAAGTGTTGTGTAGATGGTTCAAAATCTCAAAAGGATTGAGAATCATTGTTGTAAGAAACAGGTGAAATCAGGCTGAATTGCCAGAAACAGCGTGACATGGTTCTATACAGGTACCAGCAAAGGGAAACAGCAGACCAGCTCTGATATGTCATCCGATAATATCTTTTATTTTCGGAAGATTACTATAAGATATTTCCTTTTGGAAGGAATTTATCTTATTTCAGTTATTTAATCCCATATAAAAGGCAAACATATCATATGCCTTATTTATAGTTGGTTGAGATAATTATGGTAAAAGATAATTACCAAAATTTTTGATTTCAATTTAAAAATATCCTTTACAGTTGCTTTTTATTGGCTCAACTAACTCTTTTCTTTCCTTCTTCTCTCTTTGTGCTTCATTGTTAAAAATATACACTAACCCTTTGTGCAGATCATCAATCATCATCACTCGAAATTCTCTCTCTCTCTCTCGTATGCTTTAAATTCATCATTGTTCATTTGGTTACTGTTCACTCAAGGAACCAGCTCAGTCTCAGGGGGAACATCAGATGGAAGCATAAGTGTCCTTAAGCCCGAAGTTGGAGGAAATTCAGAAAAGTCAAAGTGAAAAGGATGAAATAGAGGTTGTTGGTTATTATGAGGAGACACCCATTGCTAAGACCATGGTACGAAGTAGAGTAACTCAATTAAAGAAGTTCACTGAGAAGGTGCAGGAGGAACAGTCCATTGACGCTGTTCCAGGAACCAAGAGAAAAAGGGTACCAGCAAGAACCTCCTTGCTTGATTGATGTGATGCTAGTTTTGCACTCGTTATGCAACAAGGAGAACAGTTTTGCACTCGTTATGCAACAAGGAGAACATTCTGAATCTGTACATATCTCTCATGCTTTCTTTAAACAAAAAAAAAAAAAAAAAAAAAAAAAAAAAATAGAGGAACCAGCAGGTCAGGAAGTGGCTCTGAAACAGATTGAAGAACCATGAGAATATGCTTAGTAAGATAATGCGATTGGTTCAAGTAGAGCATGATGACAAGGTTGAGTGGGATGAAGAGGAACCAGATGATGATGCAGAAGATGTTGCAAAGTTCGAGGAGGAGGAAGGGAACGAGAATGATGATGAGGAGTGATGCTGTTTCTGTTCTTGTTTTCCTCACCCTCATGTTTATTCTAAAATAACTGATTTTGTTGGTCTGTCTACTTCTCTCCATTCCATGAACTTTCTTTTTGGATGGATTTGGGCTTCTTTGGTTGAACTTTGTTGGCTTGTATGAACTACTAACTCTGCTATGGTATGAACTGTTTGGCTAATCTCTTTTTGCAGCATAATGCTTGAATGGTGGTTGATGCCATTGTATGGATAAGCACATTAACTTGTGCACATTGCTTTTACTTGTGGATACTTTTTAATGATGCCAAAAGGGGGAAGTAGTCTGAAGTTGAAGCCTAAGGTTTAGCTAGTTTAGATTGAGTCAGTTTGAGTTTTTTTATTTCGTATTTTCTATTTTATGTTTAGGGAACCAGTTGGCCTAACTGACTTGTTCCAAAGAGTCTTGAGTCCTTGTCTTGAGTCCTTGAAGTTTTTGACGGTTTTCCTTTTGAGCATGTTCACAGGTTCAGGAACTTCAAGAGTTTGTCATCATCAAAAAGGGGGAATTTGTTGAGTCCCTTAGGTTTTGATTGATAGTTTTGAATGATGACAAACAGCTAAGGGAAACAGGTCCTTGAAAGTGTTCGATACAGTTGGGGGAACCAGCTAACATAGAACACTGTTTCCCCAGACAAGTTATTACTTACATGAGTTTTCTTATTGAACTAACTTGTCTTTATACAGGGAACAGTTATATGATAAAAGTGTTATGTACTGGTAGGGAACCAGTATGTACTGTTTCCATGGTTGCTACGTGGTAAAGCAGTCACATACTCTTTATTGTGCATTAACCATGTTACATGTGCAGTAGTTGAGTTGATTCCAAGACTTGGAGCATAGAAGCCTTTCGAAGATATTTCGAAGAAAGATTGTTTGCTCATAATAGAAGTATTCAAGGAAGATTCAAGTCTTGAAGATTACATGAAGAAAAGACGATTTATGCTTTAATATGTTATCTAGGTTTTCATGTAATATGCTCCGTAGTATGCTTGCATGTTTGGGTTATATAAGTGCTTAAAAGTATATTGAAGTATGATATGAAATCTGGTACAAAGTTGGAACAGGTTTCATAACATGTTTCAATTCAGGGAACCAGGTCGGGGAACCAGGTTCACTGTATTCGAGCTGCCGTTTTGGAAAAAGATTTTACAAAAAGATTTTTTCGAAAAGATTATCTTGAAAATATTTTGTGCAGCTGGAAATAAGATGAAATATTCTTGGTTACCTAAAAACTAGGAGTATTTATCTTAATTGATTCTATCTTTGTGATTAAATCAAATAAGATAAAAACTTTCCTAAAATTACATTATATCTTATTCTCTAAGATTGTGTGATTTAAGGAAACTAGGTTTTAGGAATCTAAGCTTATATAAACTCATCTTATTTCACATATTTCGTGTGCCTCTCCAGAAATCAAAAAGAGCAATTATTTGAGAGCATATACTTAAGCACTAATCCCATTCATCAAGTCATATACAAGAGCATTCTAGTACTTAAACTTTTTCTCTTAATTAGCTTCGTAGAAGTGAGATCAAAGGGGAGTTCTTGATTCTTGTATTGAGTCTTTAACAAAGGGGTTAAAGGCTGGGTGAGTGTTTGTGAGTTCAAACACATTGGGCTTACGAGTGTAAGTCGAGAGCACACTCGGAGTAGAGTGTGGGGTTTGCTGGTTCCCGGAGTAGGGAACAGCAGAGTGTTCTTTGTCTTTGTTTTTCGGAGTAGATTAATAAAGAACTTAGGATAGGAGGACGTAGGCCTGAGTTGGCTGAACCTCGTTAAATTTGTTGTCTTCTTTATTGCTTATTTATATTCCGCTGCGTACGGGAACCAGCACAACTGGTTCCTCACACATAATCCGAAAAGAAGCAAAATTAGCCAACGATTACTTAACACTCAATTCACCCCCCCCCCCCCTCTTGAGTGCCCATTGAACCTTCACAGCCCACACCAGCAACTGCAATATCAACAGCACTTGAATCCCAACTATTTCCTCTTATCTGAAAATCCCGTTTCACCCAGCCACCAAGCTCTTTATGACGATTCTCTCCTATTGGTGGCTGAAGCAAGGGCACACGTAGAAGGTATAAAGATCTCACGCAGAAGCATAACACAGAAAAAAAAAAATAGGAAAACAGATGACAGGTTTGAAAATAAAGTTTATGGTACAAAAATGGACTATACCAGAAACTAAGTATAAATTTATGCTGTTAAAAAGTTGGATGTTTAAAGTATCTAAAGAGTTAACATGCAAAAGCAAAAATTGAATGATGTATATGGTATGTTAAGTCGCGCTTGTATTCTCCTAGCTTTGCATTTGATATGATATTAGATGACTTCAAATAGACAACTTCCAGCACAACAAGTACCCAATGCCCAAACCCCAAGCATGCACTTCTGATTTGTTTAGTTCGGATACTACAGTCTGCTTATTTTCCATCGCGTTAGATAAAGTTAAAAGTTTTGCTTCATTTTTACACTTGCAAATTAAAAAAACCCTGGATGACAATCCAATTTTCATTCTAGGGCATATATATTTTAATTACCAATCATAGACATAAAAAATGATAACAATGATAGTAAAATAAATAAGAAACATAAACAAAACACATAACAGACTAAGATACTACGACATCATGCAAAAAGAAATAAGCATGTATACCTGTAACTGTCGACCAAAATGATCTGTTAGCATTCTATCAGCATTTTCTGTTTTTCCCATATGCAATGGTAAAAGAGGGGAAGCCCATACAGTAACATAAACAGAGTCTGCAGCCAATTCTTCAATATCTAGCCTTGCAATACCAGCAATATGAATTGTATGACCAACCTGTAAAGATGAATAATATTATTAAATGAGGCACATAGACTTGCAGATGACTCTTAAACACTTACACAGCATTAAAACTCATGACACTCGCATGCTTTAGATACATTTTTTTATATATATATTCCTTGGTTCACAAGATATCGCAGTCAGCCAATTACAGCAACATCATATGGCAGTGGGTTCAATGAAAGATCAACAAATTAGATTTTAGTGACACAAATCCAATAGCAGCATTAAATTTATTGCAAATTGATATCCCATCATTTATGCATATATAGAATTCGTAGTAATTATGTTACACTGTAATATATCAGTAATGCTTGTACGTGTCAACCATACAGCACTTCCTTCGTTTCCTTTGTGATCTACTTTTGCTTCTACTGTTCTACATCACAGGTATACAGCTACTGAACTACAAGACAATTTCACATCTGTATAAATGGAGGAAAAATATACAACAATACATAGCTAAGAATTTACTCATATTATACAGCCAAAAAAAATGTAAGGGGAGAAAAGTACTAGACACTACAGGAACCAAAATCAACAATATTTTCTTTCTTGGTGGCATGCTAAGACAATAACACACACCATTTACTTTCTATGTAAACATAGCCGCATCAAGGAAGACTATGAAGAGCAATCTGTCATAATGACTCAGAATTAAATGGTTATTAATCCACTGCAAGGTGCAACCCAAAACTGAACTCTGATTCAGGGTTCATATTGCATCCAAGAAGATTGCTACCTTAATCCAAGATGGAAATGCTTCAAGTGCAGAAGAAATTGGACATTCAACACGGCTAAAGTAAAAAAAAAAAATAATAATTAAAAAAAAAAAAAAAACCACTCTCCTGTGGAGAGGAAGTCAATAATTGGGAGGTTTGGAAGGTATAACCCATCCTGACGTATAAAACCACCAAGAATGGCTTTTAAAAAATAATGCACATGCGTACAACATCTCAAACCTTGGCAACCTGTCATGGAAACCTCTAAATCAGATGCACCTACTGCAGTACCTTAGAAGAAGAAAAAAAAGTTGTATTTTCAAAATATTCCTTCTATGCAATAATGTCATTAATAATACCGAGGTTGTAGCCTGAGAGGCTGAGAGTCATAACATAAGTGGTTACCTTGCACTAAAGACCCACCACTAAACTGTCCTGTTTATGATCCCCTTGAATCAGGATTATGATCAACACTAATGCCTCCTATATGGGTAAATCGAGTGATAAGATACGACAGAAAATATATTATTTTCAGAAGCAGAATATGAAACTGGATGCTAGGATTGTAGCAAGAAATTCTTCCCTGCTTGATTGAAGAATCTAACCACAAATGTTGCTCCACAGATTGCCTTTACTACAGGGTGTAAGACCATACTTCTTTCAAATAGTATAGACCACGAATATGCTTAGAATTCAAGGAATAAAGGCCAAGCAAGGAACAAGAAAAACAGTAAGATGAATGGGAGCTGAGATCTGAAGAAATGCTTGGAGAAGGTCATAATTTATCCAGTTGCTCAAGAAACAAGCAATGTAGGAAACAAAAGGGCCAAGGATGCATGGAGCTTCAATATATTACAGAGCACGACAATCAATTTCCTATGCATGCTACAAATGCTTTAGATAAGACTAAAAGGGAAGTCTACATGCTAAAACTCTTACTATGTTGTGCATTTCCATTGTTGTAACTCAAAAAAGAAGAATCTGAGATCACAGTTACCTTTTCGCTAAACCTTGCTCCTCATCGTGGGAAGAAATTGAGGCATCGTAACGATCCTCCAAAACCTAGATATCACTTTCCGACCCCCCACATAAGCTTATAGACCCATTTGATTTTCTAACTCATACTCTTTTGACGCCATCACAGTGAGTAGGTCATCATCCTCTAATTTCCCCTTTTATTCCAAATCCCAACCCTTTACATAGTCACTCATACACAGGCGAGCGCGGACACAACTCCTACCTTCCCTATAGTTTCCAAGGATGATCCATGCTCAAGAGCACCATCCTTATGCCTCTGGTTCTTTTTATTTAATCATCTCTATAAAACCCAACATATAACACATTTGTTTCATGACAAATGGGTAGTAATGCCTTATCTTATCTAGTCCTGGCAAGAGCTTGCCAAGCACCTCACTTTGAAGAGATGTCAAGGATGCTTTGGTTTCTATATAGGCTAACTAATGGAAAAGGGGACCAACAAGATGTGAATAAAAAAGATGTGCATTTTGAAAAGGCTTTTTTTAATCTTTTGATTGGATAATGATATTTTTTGTCTCAAGACTCTCAACTCTCTATGATGATGACGGTAGTTGATTGATAAGGCACTAGTCTACCACCGATCAGGAGTTAGATTTTTCTCATGACCTAGTTTATTAGTTAGTGATCCAGATAATCAACATCTTAGTGTGAACCTCATTCAATGGCAAGTCATGAATATGTGTGTGTGTGTGTGTGTGTGAGAGAGAGAGAGAGAGAGAGAGAGAGAGAGAGAGAGAGAAGGAGAAGGGGGGGGGGGGGAGATAATCAGGATACTTTTCATAATATGTTTAATAATTAGTTCAACGGCAAGGACGATTGCTTCCATAACTGGACCAGAAAGACACTAAAGTCTTTTTATTATTAAATAAAATATTTTTTTTTTTTTTTTTTTTTTTTTTTTAATTTAGTCTAAGAATGGAATAATCCAGCTCTAACATTATCATAGATCAATGCAAACTTCTTTTCTTATATTGTAACCAAATAGATTATTTTAAGATGAGTTAATCCTAATAGTTTAATTTAACGACAATTCGATAAGAGATATAAGGGGGGAGGGGTAGGCAGAATGCTTTTAAAAAATAGAAATAAGTTTGTTATCTAGGTAAAAAAGAAGAAAACCCAAACCAGGGTAAGAATAATGTCACAAAAAGCTATTTGCACAAGTGTGCAACTTGTCACGTGCATTATATATTTATATGCCAATATAAATTACCTTTTTTTACTAGGCATCCACCACCCACCCCCCCACCCCCTCCTCAATGCTTCACATGTTCAAGGTTTTTTTTTTTTTTTTTTTTTTTTTTTTTTTTTTGAAGACTTCACATGTTCAAGTTTACTGTGGAAGAGAGTGATAATTTGGTGAAGAGAATTAGAGAAATACAAAATTAGTAGAATGCTACTCCCTTTGTTCCTTTTTATTGGTTACGTTATGACTTTACATGTTTGTCAATGCACTTATTTGACCATTGATATCTTACAATGCATACTTGCAAAAATTACAACGATTGAATATTAATAAAGTACTCGTTGAGACGAATCAAACAAGACGCCAAATGACTATAGTATGACTTATATATTGGGAATAAATTATAAGATTTTCTTAACTTATAAATAAACCTAAAAAACAAACGTAAACTATGATAAGGGACGGAGGGAGTATGAGCTAAAATGACAAATTACACAAGACAGCAACACTTAAGAAACATGGGTATTCCGCTCCAACCATACACTCCACAAAGCACAATCACAGCAATGAGCCAAAGCCTTTTTTTCCCTTTCCAAACCCCACTTAGTGAATCTGCAGCCAATCCATAATATGAAAAAGACATATTCAAGACTCTTAATGTAAAGAAAACAGCTTTCTTCATAGACAATATGCCATCCACAGTAAAAGAAAACATGTAATTAGGACTTGTTGCTATCTTGGCTAAGCATGCAGATGTCAGGTTAAACATAGCCAACCCCACCCAACACTTTTAAAGCATATAGTTGGTTTTAATCCTTTGCAAAGCCAATGCCCAAACAAACACATTCACCTTAATGGGGGCCTTCACCGTCTTGATGAAATAAGCAACTGGAAAAGCTGGATGCTTGGGGGTCTAGTTAAGCAACAAAGAAAGACTTACAAGACCAAAAACACCTGGAAATAATTCTATCTACACCCTGGATTCCTTCACATCTGTATACTATATAGCCAAAAAGTCACAAGCTTCTCTATTTTTCTCTATAATGGGGTGGTCTTCCAATATTTAAATCCTAAGCACTGCTGCACCATCAACTAGACACAAGAGCATTATGTAGAGTAGACAATGGAATTTTACAAGGTATAAATGACTTAATGAACATCTATGAAATGGATTGAGGGTCTTTCATGTTTTGAGCTAATCAGATATGGTTTACGTACTTTAAACATGACAAAAAGAGATAACATAAGAAAAGGAGATTTCTCTATGTTGTTGGTGCTTGCTGAGTTGTTGCATCTAAGATCTACAAATATTCACTTTGATGAGTAATATGTTTTGGGGCACTGTCCCTACAAAACAAAAATTTGAAAGCAGTAGATTTTTCAAAATACTTGGCATTCTTATAACAACAATGTCATGTCTTTGAGTTAAATCTGTTTCTGAGTTAATAGTATAACACAAAAATTCACAAGCATTTTATTAACATGGCCAATCAGCACAACACTACTTTATATAATTTTATTTTTTTTAAAGTTAAAAATAGCCATATTATTCTACTAACAGTTCATGTCCTACCATAATCACTTCCTAATTAAATTGTTTTGTTTTTTTTACAAGAATCACATAAACTAGCCTGGTCATTAAGTATGGATACTAGTCACACTACCAACTTGTATCTAAACAAACCGGTTGGCTTTCTACCTTTCTTGTTATACAGGTTGTGCAAGGCAGAGGTACAATATAAAAATAATCCATTCACCATCATCACCAAATTTATGCAAGACATAGTAAATACATGCTCAGTGGCCACTGTAATTATCATTGATGCCGTAAAATGGAAATAACACACAACAAATGATTTACCGCATTAGATTTTACAGCAAAAGCTCACCTTGATCCTATAAGTCCTCGGCTTCAGCTCCTTGTTGATCTGCACGAGCTTTTGTTCATCCCTTGTCAACCTAGTAGCTATATGATGCGGATGAAGAAGCCCCGGCGTATCAAGCAACTTCGCCTTTCCAGGAAAGATTCCTTCCAATTTTATAATCCCCAAGGTAGTCCCAGGTACAGGTGCCTCTGTTATAGGTGCTACCTTCCCAGTTACATGCTTCCCTATTGCATTGATCAATGTAGATTTCCCAGCATTTTGAGCTCCTATTGCCCATACATTTCCTCTTGGCCCAACCAATCTCACCACATCATCAATCAAATTCTTTACACCCCAATCTCTCACTGCACTAACCATATGCACACTAGTCAGCTTATTCGCCCCACCCTCCCGAGCCCGTTGCCTAATCCAATGCTCCAACCGAGTAGGGGACAACGAACTCGGTAACAAATCAAGCTTAGACAATACCAACACCATTCTAGGAACATTCCCCGACTTCCCTTCCTTCCACGCCATTACATTCTCATCAATGGTAGCTGAAACCAGCTTAGCAACCTTTTTCGGGAACGTCCCGTCAAAATCACAAACATCAACTACCATTAAAACTACAGACCTACCCCCTGAGGCAGTAGCCAGCTTCCTACCAACAGTATGATCAAAATCAAAATCTGGCAGTAAGTTTTCCAAACTAACATCCTTAACCTTACCATAATGCCTTAAAGAATGACACCTAGCACAAACAACAGGTTTTTCACATAAATTAGGGTTTAAGGGAGGGTTTTGGGTCTCTTCAAACTCATTAAGAACACCCCTTTTGAGGGAATCGGATACCTCAGGTTCATCAAGGACAAATTTTCTACTAATTGGCAATTTGTAATCAGGGTTTTTCGTAGCCGGCGTAACATAAAATCCAGGCAAATTAGGGTCTAAATTCTGCATATGAACACCACAACCAGGGCAAATTTGCAGAGTTTGAGATACAATATCATCAAAATTACCTTCTCTAATCAATTTCAGAGATGGGTTTTGCACAGAATTTGATGAATAATTTTTTATAATCTGCAACGCAAATGAAGAACATGGCAGAAATTGAAGAACAGGGTTTTGAATACAGGGGTTTGTTCTATGAACTGCTACAGTTACTAAAGAATTACATGAACAAGAAAATGAAAACTTTGAAGCAAATTGGTGAGATGAATTGAAGAGATAAACAGAAATCAAACGTTTAAGCTTTTTTGATGGACAGTAATTTCGAGCTAGCATTTTGCTGCAAATGAAGATACAAATATTAAAGCAACTAAAAAAAATCAGACCTTTTTGTAATAATCTAAGTTTTCATGGCAGGCATTTTGCTCTCTGAAGAAGAGAAGTGCTTGTGTTTGTGTTGGGTGGTTGCAGGCGGCGTTGGTGGCTGATGCTGTGGGCAACATGTACTGCAGGTTAGGACTCTTGCAAGATGAAATTTTTTGGGTCAAAATAGCCAAATTGGGTCTTGGTTCAATTTTAATTTTTTTTTGGTGTTGTGGGAGTTGGGGTTGAGACATGGCATGATACGGTCGAGCAAAGAAAGATCACGAACTCACGATTCACAAGTCACGAGACCATATTGATGTTGGGTAAGTGCAACACGATTTTTTTGTTAGCTGTGTCAAATTGTGGGTTTATTTATGCAAAACATAATGAACACGTGTCAATACTATAAATAGTTAGGCAAAAGCCACATGAGTACATGACACATCCTAACAATATGAGCAGGTGAGTCCAGTTATGCTTAGAGAGCCCATTTTTAGTTTGTTACACAATTTGTACCAACCGAGCCTAGACAATCATGTGGGCTCAACACCACGCAAATTCATTTGTTAAAATTTTGTGGTAGTATTTGATTCAATTAGTCGTATTAAAAATCATGTTATATTTGTTAAGTATGTATACTTTTTTATAAGATTCTCATGCAAACTTGGATGAAGATGCGTTATGTACTTATGTGTGTCCATGTGGTATTAATTTCCTTAAGTTGAGGTCATGTAAAACTCAGAGTCAATTATCAAAATGAGTCCATAATAAATTGATAAGAAAGGAATAAGTTCTAATAACATAAGATAATTGTTATGTAAATAATTCAGTTTGATAAGATAAATGTGAATAAGTTTGGATAAATTTAAATAAAATAAGTGAATTCAAATGAGCCAATATATTAACCGGAACTGTTCTCAAGCAAATCTTTTCGAATTCAATGGATTGGACCTACCCTCTTGGCAACCTTGACCCAAACTATAAACAAGGATAAGCATTGAAAATTGAAACATGAAATTTAGAATTGTACCATTTAAAGATCAATAAAACCCTATAAAAGTAGGCAAATGAAACCAGAAAATGACAATAAACACCTCTCATAAAAATACCACGTAACACAAAATATCACACAGTCCAAAGTCCAGATGTCAATATAGTGCTTGAATTTCGCTCTTCTCTACCTTTAACAATACACTATTTACTCCTATCTATATTTTCTTGCACACATTCAATTAATCTAAAAAAATCTCCAAATAATATCTGAAAATAGTAGGAAAAAATGGGGTTTTTCATGGATGTTTTATGGGAAAAAGGAGTGGAATTAGCAAATATGGGTGAAAGTGGGCATGCACAAGTAGTGCCCATATCAGTTTTTGTGGCTGTTCTTTGCTTTTGTTTGGTGATTGGTCATTTGCTTGAAGAAAATCGCTGGCTCAATGAATCGATCACTGCCATTGTCATTGTAATTACTCCTATATTTTGTTATTTGTTACATTAATTAAATCATATAAAAACTTATATGATACTTTGTACAAATTATACATATTATTAGTAATTTGTTATTTGTTGGGTAGGAGTAGAAAATGGGTTGTTTTGATCATGCTTGACAAATTTGCATGTGGGTAGTTATGTTTTATTACTTGGGTTGGATTCACATATATGGGTTGACTGTTTCGGACATGGGTACCCAAGTCCGAGTAATACAGGGTAGAAGAATGCACATTTGAATGTTTCATATTTACACTAGCTATGTATGCTAACTAGAAAGTGGAATGTTGTAAATGTATATTTGTGTATGGTGCTTTAAATGAATAGGACTAAATTTGAACAAGAAGTGAACCAACATGATATGCTACCTACACATAACGAAAACATTATTATATGCTATTTGCATTGTTATAGGTACATTAGATGTTAGGAACTAGGAAGTGGAATGTGGTGAATGTATACTTGTGTACGGTGATCTGAATAAGTATGACTATATATGAACAAGAAGTGAACCGAACATGTTATGTGCACGTAACGATCGTGTTCATTTCATCATACGGTACATATTCATTTGGAGCAACATACATGACTCCTAGGAGTAATCCTTTTGTTCCCATATGACTACCTTAAGTTTGGTAGGTTGATCCAACTGAAACCCTACTTAATGTTTATATTGTCATTTGTTAGATGATTTGTTTAGCCTGTGTTCATAAGTTCATTCATGAGTTTTGTATTAAAGGAATTACATTATCAGTAATAAGTAGGAAAATATGTCCCAATTCACAATACAGTTTATTATATTAACCCTCTCTTAAAAGAAATTCTATCTTTTGTTTTGTGGCTATAGAAGAATTTAGTCATTTATAATTTGATCTGCACAAGAAGTTTGTCACTTGAAGAAAATAATGCAGTTTTTGTGTATGCTAAGAAATAGAGAAGTTAACATATGAAATAACTAGAGTTCAAAGTCTTAGCTATGCCTTGAATGGTTATTCCAGTTGAGAGTAATGAGACTAAAGAAGTTACGCGTTGTTCCTACCATGGCCATCAAAACCTCTTTAATTAGTGATTACTTTTAGAATTGTCATTTCATACATGAAAACATAATATAGGTGCCTTCTTTGCAATTCTTCATATCTATCAAGCAAGTTTTTCAAGTGTTAATGAGTTTTTTTGCCTCGATTTAGGGATGCCTGACTGGAATGATTATATTGTTCATAAGCAAGGGGAAAAACTCTCACATATTACGGTTTGATGAAGAACTATTCTTCATCTATCTCCTTCCGCCTATCATCTTCAATGCGGGGTAATCCTTCCGTCATTGTTTTTGGCATCTTTGATAATATAGATAATTTAAGTTCTCTAGATTAATTGAGGTGCCATATTGCTTGTACTTGACTCAGGTTTCAAGTCAAGAAGAAACAGTTTTTCCAAAACTTCTTGACAATTATGCTTTTCGGAGTTATTGGTGTGTTTATCTCAACAACCATCATTTCTCTTGGTAATATGCAGACCCATTTATGCCTTTGCATTTTTCTCTCTTTTATTCCCTTGACTGATTTGCCTGAAAATGAATTATCATTAAGTCATTCCTGCATGTTTTCATCTGTTAGGTAGCTGGTGGCTGCTTCCTAAAGTTGGATTTGCTGGGCTAACAGCACGAGACTACCTCGGTAAGCTTTATGTTCTCCTTTTAGTCAGTTTCATGCTTAATTTTCAGTGATCGTTTTTGTTAAGTCACTATTATTTTACCTCAAATTCAGCTATTGGAACTATTTTCTCGTCTACTGACACTGTGTGCACACTTCAGGTCAGTACATTGATCAATTTAGCCTTTCAAGTGTGATGATGAAATTTTTTCATAAAAATCAGTTCTAATAAGTTTCTTTTGTTTGAAGGTTCTTAATCAAGACGATACTCCTCTGCTGTACAGCTTAGTTTTTGGGGAAGGGGTTGTAAACGATGCAACATCAGTTGTTCTCTTCAATGCAATTCAAAAGCTCAATGTGAAAAAAGTTGGTGATTGGACACATGTTCTTGGAAGTTTTCTCTATCTTTTCTTCACGAGCACTGCACTGGGGATTGGTGTAAGTTTAAACAACTTGAAACTCTTTCTTGAATATCTCCTTTGTTTTTGTATTCAAACATTATGGTTCAACCTATAGTACTCACTCTCAAAGTAGACAACTCTAGACTACTCGATCATTTTATTTCAGAAATTTTCTTCTATTCTTGCAGACAGGGCTTCTAACTGCATATGCTCTAAAAGCATTGTATTTCGGTAGGTAAGTGTTCTGAGCTTAGAACCATTCCATACCATGATCTAAGTTTGGTGGACTATCGAGTTAAAAGTATGTCACTCATCTTTCTTTACAGACATTCCACGGATCGTGAAATCGCCCTAATGACTTTGATGGCATATCTTTCCTACACATTGGCAGAGGCAAGTGTATATTTTTGCTCAAAGTTGCGAGTTTGTTGGTTATCACATGATTCTACAGCAATTGCTCATGTCTTGATAATCATTTTTATAACTTGTTCCTTTCCATTTCACCACTAAGTACTAAACATGCATATATTATATCCATGCTAATCTGTTTTCCTTAGTTACTACCATATAAAGGAATATCAATAAAGCTTTATGCTCTTTGATGCATATATTCCTCTTTCCTTTCTTTGATTATTGTGTGGAAAATTGTTTAGATCATGTGTTGCTTCATTTCGGCTTTTGCAGCTAGCAGAGCTGAGTGGAATTTTGACTGTCTTCTTCTGTGGTATCGTCATGTCACATTATGCGTGGTATAATATTACAGAAAATTCAAGAATTACAACAAGGTAGACAGAACAAATTTCATCTAAATATTATTGCAGTCGATATGATTATGTACTTAAGTTCTTCCCCCCTAAAAAAGTTCCGCGCTCTAGAGAAAACAGGAACAGCGAGAATTCTACATGATTATGTTGATGTTACTTGGTCACTTTTCTCAAACTTTTGCAGGCACATATTTGCAACCATGTCATTCATTGCCGAGACCTTCATTTTCCTTTACGTGGGTATGGATGTTTTTGATATGGAGAAATGGAAAATGACCAAGCTGAGGTAAGACAACTTCTTTATTTAATGCAACTCGGACTAATAAACTCAATTGATCTGATACTGCTACCAGTACTTCTGGTTCTATCTTGTTTTGATCATATAGTCATATACATGAGCTATATGATTATATTCCTTTGTTTTGATTGTATTCATTGCACAGTCACTACCTTTTCTTTTTTTTTTTTTTTTTTTTTTTTGAAAATGCAGTCACTACCTTGATTAGTTTGCGAATGGAATTAATGCATTAATTCTTCCTGCTTGGTCAATGTTATTCAATATTTTTAAGTAATGTAATATCACTGACAGGAATCAGACTATTTATGCATTGGATATATAATCTTATTTTAGAGTAGTTTATAATCCAATCCCAAGTATCAACTAGGAGTGCCTGATCCATTTGGTTTCCAATATATTGTCATTGTTACCTGCAGCATTTGGACATTGTTGGGCATCTACGGTACCATCATATTTCTCATATTACTTGCTCGTGCTGCTTTTGTGTTTCCTCTATCCGCTTTGTCAAATCGCATGAATCGAGAGAAAGAGATATCTGGAAGAAGATCATCCATTACATTTAAAAAGCAGGTAAGCTTCTTGTTAAGTAGCTAGATCTAGATTCCTATTTATGTATTTAAAAACTTGTTCAGGCTTTACTAGTTCACCACCCTGTTGTGTAGGTAATTATATGGTGGGCTGGACTTATGAGAGGCGCTGTCTCAATTGCTTTAGCATTTAAACAGGTTTGTGTTTATCCTATGCTTGTTCATTTCATATCCTTACTAACTTAAGCACTCAAATTCAATTGCTTTCTGATATGCTTTGATAATTACTG